CAAGCCTGGTAGTAAATCCTCTTTCATTCACCTGTTTGTTACAGTGGTGGTGGTGGTTTTGTTAGGTGCTGTCAAGTGAACTATAACTCATAGCAGCTTTATGGACAGCAGGTCTGAACCGTGCTATGTCCTGTACCAGCCTCATGAGCTTTGTCCTGCTCCTGCCCATTGTGTCGTCACTGTGTCAGTCCATCTCACTGAGGGTCACCCCTTTAACTGACCCTCTACTTGTACTCGCATAATGTCTTTTCTAATGACTAATGCCTCCCGAAAACATACCCAAAGTATGTGAGATGACATTTCACCATCCTTGCCTCTAAGGAGCACCCTGATTATACTTCCTCCAAGACGTGTTTTTCTGTCCTTTTGGCAACCAATGCTATAGTCAGTACTCGTCTCCAACAGTACAGTAGAAAAGCTTTGTTACGGTAAAGCCTCTCTTTTTGTTATTTTTTTTTCCTAAATATAAAGTGATGCTCTACTCCATATCTATTCACTGTATATTAGAGTCTGATGGATTCTTTAAGAATCAGAAGCCAAAACTCACAGTTGTGAATTTGATTCTGATCCCCCAAAATATGTGTCAACTTGACTAGTCCATGATTCTCAGTTTTATGTCATTATCTTGTGTCTTGTAAATCCTCTCATGGCCTAGTAGGTAAGGAATTATTCTGCTAGCCCAGTATCAATGGTGTGAATCCACCAGCAGCTCTAAGGGAGAAGAATGGGCAGTCTCCTCCAGTACAGTTTACAGCCACTGAAAAGCCTGCTGGAGGGCCAGTTATGAATTGGCTTCAATTCCACAGCAGTGAGAAACTGAAATTATGAGAGAATAAATTTCTGTTTGTTAAAAACCTTTGTTTAGGGGAGCTTTGGTGGCCTAGTGGCAAGAAGCTACACTGCAATCCCAGGGGTGCATGGTTCAAATCCACTGGATGCTCTGCTGGAGAAGGAGGGACAATCTCCTCCTGTACCAATCAGATCTGATTTGATGGTACATGCACAAAAAGTAATAAAATAAATGAAAAACAAAACAAAAACCCTCTTTGTTTATTAGAGAGCTATGGTGGCCTAGTGGCAAGAAACTGCACTGCAATCCCAGAGGTATGCAATTTGAAACTACCAGATGCTCTGCTGGGGAAGTAGGGGCAATCTCCTCCTGTATTAGTCAGATCTCATTTGACGATACACACACACAATAATAAAATAAAACAAAAATTTTAAAAAAAACCCCAAACACCCAACAACCCCCCGCCTTTGTTTATGGTATTTCTTGTAGAAGTAATGTTGTTGTTGTTGTTGTTATGTGCCATCGAGTCGCTTGTGACTCATAGCGACCCTATGTACAACAGCCCTAAACTCCGCTCTGTCCTGTGCCAATCACACTGTCTCTGACACTCCCATCCCAATTATCCCAGTCACTGAATCAATCCACCTCATAGAGGGCCTTCCTTTCCTGCGCTGTCCCTCCACCCTCCCAAGCATGATGTCCTTCTCCAAGGACCTGTCTCTCCTCACAACATGTCCAAAGTATGTTAGACGGAGCCTCAGAATCCATAACTAAAATGCTCACCAAACATCTTTGTATTACTTAATATTTTTACATTGAGGTCATATTCTCATTGTCGAAGAAAAACCAGAATTACAGAGCTAGAGAGGCCTGAGTAATGTGAGAGTAATTGCACAGACTTCGGAGTCAGGCTGTTTCACCACATTTATACCATTATTAACCTGCTGTAAACCTGAATAGGTTACTTAACCTTGCAAAATCATCTTCTTTATTTGTAAAATGGGAATAATACTGCCTATATTCATAGATTGTTTTAAGAAATAATGAGACAATATATATAGGTAACATATATACATGCCAGCACATAGTACAGGATTTTGGTAACTAGTATTATTGGCTAATCTGATCTATTTCAGGTAAGGAAAGTTAGGCTCAGAGAGGCTGAGTGATATTATTATATAGAGGCACAGCTTGTTGTTGTTAGGTACCATTGAGTCAAATATGACTCATAGAAATCCTATGAACAAAAGATTTGAACCCTGTTCTATTCTGTGCCATCCTTACACTTTTTGACACACAAGCGTCCATTGCAGCAGTCACTATTGCAGTCTGGTCTCCCTCTCCTTTGCCGACCCTCCACCCTTTCCAGCCTCATGTCCTTCTCCAAGGAATAGCACCTCCTAGCAACATAATTCTTGCCTCCAAAGAGCACTCCGGCTGCACCCTCTCCAAGACATATCTGTATGTTCTCTTGGCCGTTCATGGGATGTTCAGTGCTCCTCTCCAATACCACAGCTCAATTATTTTTCTGTCATCCTTATTCATTGTCCAGTTTTGAGATACCTAGCAAGTAATCAGAAAGACCATGGCCTGAATCAGATACACCTTAGTCCTTAAACTGACATGATTACTCAGTAATTTGGAAAGGTCCCTAACTGCAGATTTTCCCAGTGCAGTGTGTCTCCTTATTTCCTGACTGCTGGTACCAAGGGTGTTAATTGTGGATCCAAGCAAGATGCAGCTGTTGACAGTTTCAGTCCGCTTTCTAGCCATCATGACACTGCCTGTTGGTCCAGTGGTAAAGAGGCATAGATAGCTAGGTTCTTGTGAATTTTGTGATGGTGCCCAAGCAGTGACCAAAGTCTACTCAGTGGAACCTAATAACTTGCCTCCTACTTCCTAGTTTACTGCACAGCTTCTTCTTGGCACTGTATTGTTAAATGCTGTTAAATTGATTTTCTACTCAGTGACCCCATATGATAGAGTAGAACTGCCCCATAGGGTTTTCTGGACTGTGATCTTTATGGGAGGAACCCAGGTAGCACAGTGGTTAAGTGCTTTATTGACAACCAGAAGGTTACAGTCTCAAACCCACTAACAGTTCTGCAGAAGAAACGTATGACAATCTGCTTCTTTTAAAAAAATAAAATTGTATTTTGTGATTTTAATAAACATTTACAGAGAAGTTAGATTTTCATTCATTCATTGTTGCACATTTTACCCCTTCTCCCTCTCTTCCTCCCCAATTCACATTTTTTAAAAAAAATATTCATTTATTGTTTTACAATTACCCACCTCCTTCACACCTCCCTGCTTTTTTAAAGATTTACAGCCTTCGACACCCTATGGGATAGTTTTAGTCTGTCCTGTAGGGTCACAGTCAGTGAGAGTTGAAGCAGATCACCAGTTTTTTCCCCACAAAGCTACAGGGTAAATTCAAATTGTCTACCTTATTTCTTCAATTTGTGTGCTGAGCAAATCATTTGAGAAGCTAGATTCTATGGAGAAGAATGTAGGATCACTGGAAGAAGACTGATATATATCCTGCACTATGCAGATGACACAACTTTGTTGAAAGTGAGGAGGACTTGAAACTCTTGCTGCAGAAGATCAAAGACTATACCCTTCAATTTGGGTTGCATCTCAACATCAGTAAAACAAAACCCCTCACCATTAGACTGATAAACAACATCGTGATAGTTGGAGAAAAGATTACAGTTGTCAATGATGTCATCTTAGTTGAATCCATAATCAGTACCCTTAGGCAGGAACGTCAGGAGACATATTGTACCATTATTGGTCAGAAGATCAGGAGACATATTGCACTGGGCAAGTCTACTGTTGAGGACCTCTCCAAATATCTGAGGAACAGTGATACCAATTTGAAGATTAAGGTGCATCTGATTCAGACCATGGTCTTTTCAGTGATTTGCTATGCATCTGAGAGCTAGTTAATAAATAAGGCTAGCAAGAGGAGAATGAATGCCTTTGATTTGTGGTGTTGGAGAAGAGTACTGAATATCCCATGGACTTCCAAAAGAACAAATATATATCTTAGAGAAAAGTGCAGCCAGAATACTCCTTGGAGGCAAAGATGACAAAGCTTTGTCTCACATACTTTGAGCATGTTGTTAGGAGAGGCTATTCCTTGGAGGGGGACACCATGCTTGGAAAGAGGGAGAGTTGGTGAAAGAGAGGAAGACCCTCAACAAATGAATTGACACAGTGATTAGCAGTGGGCTCTAGTATGTCAGAAATGAGGATGACACAGGATAGGACAGAGTTCAGATCTGTTTTTCATAGGGTTGCTAGGAGTTGTACTCCGCTCAAAGGAACCTAACAACAGTCTATTTATTTGGGAGTAATTTGATCCCACCTTGAACATGTAGGCATGGCTATAAGTCTCCATTCCTCTAGCTGTATACTTTTCTTTTGTGCTTTGGTGAACTTCAGAACTTATGTGTATTTCCTTCTGTTATCTGCTTCTTTGTTTTGAATGTTTTCTGTTTCTTCCTTAGTTTAATTTTGCTTAATCTTTATCTGTTATCTTTTTAAATCTTTTTCCCTGCTCTTCTTTCCTCTGCATTTGTCTTTTCTGCCTCTTTGCCTTTTTGTTAAATATTGTGTTATTTTTTTGTGATTATGTATTTATTTATTTAGTTATCTATCTATCTATCTATTTATTTATTTTGCAATAACACGTAAAGTTTATTGGATGACAGCACACACAGGAAACGCAATTAGTCGAGAAGCCCACTGTCCGTTCCCAAAGGGATCATCCTAACAATTGAGACCCAAGAGGCGAACCCCGGCAGAGGCCTGGTCCGCCGCCGTGTCGCTCGCGGTTAAAAGGGCCGCCTGCAGCGGGCTGGGGCCCCAGTTATGCGCGAACTCATGCTCTTGCACAGCAGTGTAACCCCCGGCACCACGGGCAGGCGCGCCGGGGGCTCAAAGGCAGCGCGTCGTGATTATTTATTAAATAAATACTCTCTGTTTTTAATTTGAAAGCAGATGAGCTTTTATGTTATTCTAAGAAATAAATCTACATTAAGCTAATTCTTCGAGTGGCCCTTCATTGTAGTGGCATTCCTTTATCTGATGTGGTAGGGTAGAAAGGAGGAAAAAAAGAGTTCCTACACGTGTCTGGTGCATTGCCAGCTTGAACCTTAGACACAGCTTGGTGCTTATGAGTTTCTTCTGTGTGTTTTAGAAACTCCAATAGCAAAAACGATCGAAGGAACCGGAAGTTTAAGGAAGCTGAGCGGCTCTTCAGTAAATCCTCAGTTACCTCGGCAGCTGTAAGTGGCGTGGGGGTGGCTTTTTTTTTTGTGTGTGGCCCATTGTTGAGGAAGACCTCAGTTCAATTTCTGTGAATTTTATTGTCCCTATTCCCCTGTTGTTTAGTGGTCACCTGGAGTCTGTTAACCACTTTTCTAGTAACTGGTGGCTTTTTCTTTTAGGCAGTAAGTGCATTGGCAGGAGTTCAGGACCAGCTCATTGAAAAGAGTAAGTTTATTGTTCATTTCCCCCACTTCCCTTGTCTGTCCTTTTCTTTTTAAGCTATTGTAGCCTCTATATTTAATGCCTCTCTGTTTACCTGAGGACTGCATGTTTTATACTCTTGCCTCTTTTTTTCTATTAGTTAGGAGCCCTTTTGAATTACTAAATTATTGAATTATTAATCTTTTGAGAATGAAACTACCATTTTCTTTCTGCTGCTTATATCATATGGAGAGAGCAGGTGGCTTAGGGAAAAAGCTGTGTTGCAATCCCAGAGTCATGCTGTTTGAATCCACCAGCTGTTGTACAGGAGGAGGATGAACTGTTTCCTCTAGTGTGTATAACTGCCTTGGAGAGTTTCCTGGAGATTCAGCTATTAGTTGATTCTGACTCAGTGGCGTACAACAACAATATCATGGAGCTCTGGTGGCCTAGTGGCAAAAAGCTGTACTGCAATCCCAAAGGCAAGCAGTTCAAATCCACAGATGCTCCACTGGAGAAGGAGGGGCATTCTCCTCCTGTACCAGTTGGATCAGATTCAACGGTACACACAAAAAAATAATAAAATAAAAAAATTTTTAAAAAAATATCGTATAGAGGTTGACTTTAGTTGTTTTAAAGACATAAAGATAGGTCGTCACCCATTGCCAGTGAGTTGATTCCGACTTACTGACCTTATATGTTCAGAATAGATCTGCTCCATAGCATTTTCTTGCCTGTAATCTTATGAGAGTAAATCATCAGAACTTTGTTCCATGATGCTACTGGGTGGGTTCAGATTTGTAACTTCTAGGTTAATGTTGTTATTGAGCATTGAGTCTACTACAGTTCAGAGTGAACAGTGATTCTGAACCCTGCCCTATCCAGACCCAGTCTCTTTGTCTGTGACATATCTGACTCTACTGCCATAGTCGCTGTGCCAATCCATCTCATCCAGAGCTTTCCGCTTCTGTGCTGACCATTTACTCTTCTGAACATGATATCCTGCAAGGACTTGTCCCTCCTGGCAACTTGCCCTACGTGTGTGAGACAGAGCTTCAAAATCCTTGCCTCTAAAGAGCAAACTGGTTTTATCCTCTCTAGGACAGACCTATTCTCTTGGCAGTCCGTAGTATGTTCAGAACTCTTCTCCAGCACCACAACTCAAAAGGCATCGTTTCTTCTTCTGTCATCTTTAGTCATTGTCCATCTTTCAGTTGCATAGCAAGCATTTGAGAAGACCCTGGCCTCAGTCAGGTGCATCTTAGTCTCTAGACTGACATTGTTGCTTTTGAGCACTTTGGAGAGGTTCTTGACAGCAAATTTTCCCAATGCTCCTTTTTTTTAAAAAATTTTTTTGTGTGTATACCGTCAAATTGGATCTGACTGATACAGGAAGAGACTGTCCCTCCTTCTCCGGCAGAGCATCTGGTGGATTGGAACCACGCACCTCTGGGATTGCTGTGCAGCTTCTTTCCACTAGCCACCAGAGCTCCTTGCACTTCATCTTTTGGTTTCCTGACTAGTGGAGCCAAGAGTGGTGATTATGGATCTGAGCAAGCTGAAATTGTAACAACCTCAATCTTTTCTTGGTCTGTCATGCTACTGCTTAATAGCTTGGTGAGAGGATCTTTATTTTCTTGAAGTTGAGATGAAATCTATAGGCTGCAGTCCTTGACTTTCTACTTCAAACACTTTCCTCCTCAGTTTTGGGAAGCAAGGTTGTGACATCTGTATAATGCAGCTTGTTGATGGGATTGGAGATCGTGATGCCACATTCTTCTTCATAGAGTCCAGCTTCCCAAATGGTCTATTCTGCCTCTCAGTTAAAAATGTAGAGAGAGAGGATACATCCCTGATGTACTCCTTTAGGTTAATAGCCAAGCTGAAACTATTTGCCATCCAGGGACCTTCATCTCTGATTTTGTTGTTGTTACGTGCCATTGGCTTGCCTGCGACTCATAGCAACCCTATGTACAATAGCTCTGAACCCTGACATATGCTAAGCCAGTCTCACTGACTCTTGACAACCTGCTCTAGTTACCTGAGTTACTGTGTCATGCCATCTCATTCGGGGTCTTCCTCTCTTGTGCTGTCCTTCCAACCTTCACAGCATGGTGTCCTTCTCCAAGGACCTGTCTCGCCTGGCCACTTGCCCAAAGTATGTGGAATGGAGCTTCAAAATCCTTGCCTCCAAGGAGAAACTTGGTTTCACTCTCTCCAAGACAGACCTTGTTCTCTTTGAGGTTAGTTTCCTTATTTCTGATAGGTTTTATAAATTCTTAGAAAATACTTTCCGTCTTTCCATTACTTAATTTTTTAAAAACAATCTTTTATTATATAAAACTTTAGAAATAATAAATCCCAGTGAACTAATTTCAGTAATTTTTCTTAGGCAGTTCAGATCCTGTAAACCTGTTATGTCTGTTTGTCCCTAAATATAAAATGGAGACTGTTGTTGTTGTTGTTATGTGCCTTCGAGTCGTTTGCGACTCATAGCGACCCTGTGCACAACAGCCCTAAACCCTGCTCTATCCTGCGCCAATCGTACTGCCTCTGACACACCCATCCCAATTACCCCAATCACTGAATCAATCCATCTCATAGAGGGTCTTCCCCTCCTGCGCCGTCCCTCCACCCTCCCAAGCATGATGTCCCTCTCCAAGGACCTCCTGGCAACATGTCCAAAGTATGTCAGACGAAGCCCCAGAATCCTTGCCTCCAAGGAGTAGCTTGGTTTAATCCTCTCCAAGATGAATCTGTTTGTTTTCCTGGCAGTCCATGGTACATTCAGTACTCTTCTCCAGCACCACAGCTCAAAGGCATCAACTCTCCTTCTGTCCTCCCTAGTCATTGCCCAACTCTCATGCATAACAAGCGATTGCAAAGACCATGGCCTGTATCAGGCGCGCTTAGTCTCCAGAGAGACACCGTTGCTCCTGAGTACTTTAGAGAGGTCCCTAACAGCAGACTTTCCCATCGCGATAATGCCTTTTGATTTCCTGACTGCTGGTGCCAAGAGTGTTGACTGTGGAGCCGAGCAAACTGAAGCTGTGAACAATCTCAATCTCTTCGCCATCCATCCTGACGCTGCCAATTGGTCTAGTGGTGAGAATCTTTGTCTTCTTGACATTGAGCCTCAGTCCATACTGAAGGCTGCAGTCCTTGACCCTCTGCAGCAAGTGCATGAGGTCCTCCTCAGTTTCAGCAAGCAGGGTTGTGTCATCTGCATAACACAGATTGTTGATAGATCTTCCACCAATCCTGATGCCACAATTCTCCTCATAGAGCCCAGCCTCCCGGATAATTTGCTCTGCATACATGTTGAAAAGATAATACTTATTTTGCAGACAATTTGTGTCATTTTCTGTAGATACACCAGACAGTATAATTATTTTCTGCTTTCATTGACAAGATAAAGAGTGAACTCAGATAGCCTAGTGATAAGCAGCTGGCTGCACTGTCAACCCAAAGGCAGGCAGTTTGAATCCACCAGCTACTCCTCAGGATAAAAATGGGCAGTCTCCTCTCATGTGATTTAAAGCCTCTGAAAACCCCCTGGTGGGCCAGGTGTGCATTGGTTCTGACATGATCATGGCACATAACAATAACACCACTGACAAGCTAGGGCTCTAAACACATTGACCTTTCTGCCTCAGGCTCCTTGGCTGTGTTGAATACGTTCCCTGTGGATTGGAGCCCTCTGAATTACAGCCTGTAGGGGGCGCTCTGGTGGCCTAGTGGCAAGAAGCTGCACTGCAATACCAGAGGAACACGGTTCAAATCCACCAGATGCTCTGCTGGAGAAGGAGGGACAATCTCCTCCTGTACCAGTCAGATCTGATTTGATGGTGCACACACAAAATAATAATTAAAAAAAAAAAAGAAATACAGCATGCTGTTTGTATCATGGTTGTATACTTTTTTCAGATGGTTTCTCTTTTTTGATTGCATTTGTTCAGTTCTTTGAGGAAAAGAATTTTGGTGGTGTGGAAATTAGAGCTGCTCATTAACATTAGTTGTTATCCCTATTGATTTTTCAATTTCTAACTCTAGGCTTAACATTGTTCTTGAACTTTATACATTTTCTTCTAGAAATTTTCACATAGGCATTTAAACTCAAGCTTTTTGTTTAAAACCAAACTCTTCTATTTGTTTCAAAATTTGTGTCTTCAACTTTTCTATTACTTTACTACTATTCTCCCTTGTTTAAAACCCTGTCAGAATGTTGAGTCCATTCTTCCCAACCTAATCAATTATACCAAGTTTTAAAAATTTTTCTTTCACTGCTTCTTCAACTGAATTGTCATTTTTAGAATGTATACCATCTGTCATCTTTATTGAGTGATGAACCTGGTTGAGGGACATCATAGACCTCCCACCTTTTAGTTGAGATGGAGTGATTTTCTGTTCAGGAGATATCTTTGACTGACTCCTCAGTTTTTACATGAACTTGCCTGGGCCCATATGGCTATATTCTGTAACCTACACAGAATGGGTAGTTTAAGAGTAAAGAGTTAGGCTGCTAACCCAAAGGTAGTTGCTGTAGTTGTTAGATGCTGTTGAATTGAGTATGACTCATAGCAATCCTGCAATTAACAGCTGAATCCTGTCCTGTCCTCTGTCATCCTATCTCTGATAAACTTGAGCCCATTGCTGTAGTCACTGTGTCAGTCATCTCATTGGAGGTCTTCCTCTCTTTCTCTCACCTTTAGCACGATCCAGAGTATGAGAGATGAAGCTTTGCCTTCCTTCTCTCCAAGGAGCATTCTGGCTACATATTTCAAGACATCTCTCTTCATTCTTTTGGTAATCTGTAGGATATTTAGGACTCTTCTCCAACAGCCCAGTTCAAAGTCATCAGTTCTTCTGTCATCCTTATTCAATGTCCACCTCTCAGATGTATAACAAAGTGATTGAAAAGACCATGGCCTGAATCAGGTGCACTTAAGTCTTCAAACTGACATCATTGCTCTTCAGTATTTTGGAGCAGTCCCTCCAGCAACCTTTCCCAAGGAATACATCTC